CAGACGGACAGAGTCAATGGATGAAAAAAATCCCACTGCGTGTAGGACGGAGGAAATAAGTTTCTTCCCTTGAATCCTGAAGCTTTGTCACTACTTCTGCACTGGGAAACAACGTGACTAGTCTAAAAGAAGGGGTATTACAAATCCCAGCATCCTCCACAGCTACCTATGTAACCCTTTTTCAACATCTTTCTTTTCCCCCAAAACCAGAACTACGCAGTGTCTTTCTAAAGAATGGATTACAAACCCCATCATCCTGGCTCATGGTCTGGGCTAGTGAGGCTCACAGGTACCAGAGAGCAGCATCTGGCAGTCTACACAAGAGCGGGCTGGAAATCTACTGCCTTCTTGATACGTACTGCAGATCACAAATCCCATCCTCCTCCACCAGGGTTAACGCCATCAAGAGAAAACCAAGAGCCCCTCTCTTCCGCCACAAGTTTTATTGGTTTAGTATGAGTTCATCACACTTTAGCAAGCTTGTCTTAGGCCACCTTAGATACATTAATACATAATCTGTAGAAGTAGTTACGCGTAATAGACTCCCATCTGTAAAGCTTTTTTTTTTGTACAGAGGAAAAACAAAAAACAAAAAAAGAGATTTGTTTTATTAATCTGATAACAAAATAGACATTAGCTGTCAAAACCAATCTTGTTTACCTAATAAAATCCGATAGCCAAAGAAGTGACTAACACTACAAAATCGGTATACATACCGTAAGGGTAAGAGGTTATCCATTTTAATTACATCTAATTCTCAGCTCGGTTCTGGGTCCCGTATTCGAGTCAGACCCATCAGGGTGGTTTCCTTAGTGGTTCAGAGAAATCTGTCCAAGATTTATGTGCCGGATTGCCGGAATTGTGTTGGCACCTTTCTTTTTTTGGTGTGAAACTGGCATGCGTGTAGTGGCTCGGGACCCCAAGTGGTCTGTTGTTCTGGCTACACCCTTGGCCGGTGACAGCCTTAAATATTAGTGTTTTATCCACGTACCATTGTGCCTTAACATTACAACACCCTGCCGACCATTTGCACGGCTCTCTCGTTCGTTCTGAAGTAAGCCGTTTGGCCTGTAGATTATTATTATCATTATTTAGCAGCGTGGGAAGCCATTTCCCTGACTGGCATTCTTTCGTAACCCTGTGTTTTCTCCAGTCCAAATAACGCCTGGAAGACCAGATCAGATCAACATGGCTTTGGAGAGGTTTCCACATCCATGCTGTCGAAAGTAATTCACTTCCTGCCTCTCCATGGAAAGAGAAAAAAAATAAAGACAATGGCATACTCCATGGGCTGAAATCTGGTAGGGTGTCATAACCAGAGTAGGCCCATTGAATCAATGGATCTTACATAGGTGCTGATTCACCATGTCCCTACTGATTCAGTGGCCCCGCTCTAGTGGCAACGTCCTACTGGATCCCAACCGTTGTTACAACAAATAATCTGCAGAATTACACATCAGTGAACCAGCTTTGAAGTGTTGCTTTCTTGGACTACAAAACCCCCAATCCCCTAGCTAAAGGCCATGATGGTGGGTGGTTTGTGCCCCCCCCCAAATTGAATCTTTCTATATTCTAGCTGGGATTCTGGTTGGTCCTCGTGAAAACATTTTGTGCTAGTAAAAGCCAAGCAGGACGCGATCGCTCTGTGATTCAGGATCCTTCTCTTTAAAAATGTCTAAACCAAAGNAGGGGGGGGGGGGGGACAAAACCTTCAAGCAATGATGGGAAACGTTTGACCGACTTTGGAATTCAGATCCAATGGGGATAGTTTAGTGGAAAGCATTATCCTGCAGTGACATGAATGAAAAGAGGTGGGAGACACGACCCACCTGTTTCGATCTGTCTCTCATCGGTGTGACTGTTCGCACCTTATCCAAACAGAACAAAAAAAAAAAAAGAAGGAAATTGTGTTGTGGTTCCACACACCACTGAGGCAGCATAGCGTCTGAGACCCTCTGGATGATCAGTTTATTTTTTTTTTCTGCCCTGTTTCACCTGCCGTTGATCTCCTCCGCAGAGGAGAGAGGACAGAAAAAGTCTGATTATACTGCCTCTGTTATTTCCCAAAAGGTACAGCGTTTATCTGTTTGTGCGCCATTCTTACACAAAAGCCTGCGGGTGGCGGAATCCACAAAGCCGTTGACGTTTCCCAACTGGGAAGTTGTGCAAAGGTTTCTTGAGGATCAGCTGAAATGCCATTAAGAGACAAGAAAAATTAGAAAGAGGAAGCAGAGACATTGAGAGGGTGGTGTTGCTTTTTTTTTTTTAAAGCATTTTTTGATACTAGATCGGCCTTCCTGATCAAATCTGCTGAAGGAGCATCCTATGAAAGAAGCAAGAATTACCCCCAGACTTCACATGAGGTCTCGTGCCAACTTGGATGAAGAAATGCCAGCCGTGCTGAGAACTCTCATGTCTACTAGACCCGGGATTTCCAGCATGCATGGACTACAGCTCCCAGACGTTTGCAGGAATTCTCCCAGCCAGACTTTAAGGGGTTAAGGCAAAAGCAAAACCAAACCAGTCCTCTGAATTATCTGTAATCACTTTTGGCTAAGAAATAACAGCTTCTCTCAGACACAAGGAGTTTGCTGATGGGGCTAAACTCAATGGGAGCTGCAAGGCGTTATAGGCCTTGTAGTCTCCCTGCAAGGTGCCTCTCAGGAAAATACCAGGCCCATAATGACTTGCAGTTCCCATTGAACTCAACCCACTTTCTCTGTCTTCATCATCTTTGAGAGAACCCATTATTTTTCAGCTGAAAGTGATTATAGACACCTGAAAGGGCTGGATTTTTAAATATATATAGCCATGAAAGAGACTGATGGAGAGGGGATCTGAGGGTGAGGATCCAGGCCAGGAGGCCAAACCTTTAGGTTCGCCCTTCTCCTGGAAAGTGGCAGGGTCTGAAAGGGGTCGTCCGCCGGGATGGGGAGAGTAAAATCCTCAACCTGAACTCCAGACAGTGGAATAAGCTGCTCACTCAGAGCTTCCCGAGGTGTCTCCAATCCCATCTCTCCTCACCTCTGGGTCTCCTGCTTCGAGCTAAGATGGGACACACATCCTGATCCAGGAAGAGGGAAACGTCAGGATGGGATTCATCAAAGAGACTCAGCTATGAGACCATAAAAGATGTAATTAGATGCCTTGCCATCAACCCGTCTGGAGCAAAGACAGGAACCCAACAAAGCAAAAGCAAGCGAAGGAATGTTTTTGTGGTCTTTCGAAGAATGTAGACAAGCTTCTTTAACTTCCATAATCCCTGGCTGTCACAATCACTGGCTGGGGAAAAAAGCAGTCAGAAAACAGGCCAGCGGTTCTGTCTATCTGTGGTTAAGATGTTTGGAGTCTCTTCAGTTGTCCGAGTTCAGCAGGAAGAGACCAAGTCCATTGTGGTGGCCAACACCATGATGACTCTAGCAAATTCATCACGACGAGCGTTCCGATTTCTTTTTAAGCCTGCGGGCTCAGGTTGTGATTCTTCCCACTATAGGAAAGGAAGAGTCAGATAAGCACGTGACCAAGAAGTCCTCCTTTCCGAGCTCAAGCATCCTCTTCTTCATAGGAATGTTTCCACCAGGAGGAGTTGACCTCCTTGTCTGGAGCCACGTCAAGGTCACGTCGTCAGCCAAACACCGCCCCTTCGCTGGGGCTTATAATGATCGGTCTTTCTGCTCTCCTGACTTCCAACGGGGGGAACGTCTTGACATTGAATGACCGCTGGCCATCGGCTCTGGCGAACCACAGCAGGGGGAACTCTGCAGGATTTTTCTTAGTGAAAGGATCAGTGGTTCGACGGAGAAAGCCACCGAAAGAAATCACCAATGGATGATGCTCACATTTCAGCCTAACCTTCAGCAGATCCTTTAAAATCCGTGGCCAGAATCCTATCTTGAAAACAAAAAACTATACCCCTAAGGTAAGGGTGCAGGGCTATGTTGCACCTTCTGGAGCAGTGACTGATGCATGTCTGGTTAGATCCTTTGTGAAATCAAATCTGCCAAAGAGATACAGTTATTTCCCCAAAAGGGTTTTTGGCTGATGGAACTTGCGTTGCACTTCCCTTCGTGAAATCAAAGACACCCCCTGCCAAAGAGATACAGTTACTTCCCCAACAGGGTTTTTTGGCTGATGGAACTTGCGTTGCACTTGATAGGCATATCCTATGGATGCCAATGGCTCTACTCTCATTGGGTGTCAAATTGTGTACAGATGAGTTGGGCTAGCCAAATCAGCAAGGCTAAGCCTCCATCGAAGCCAATCTGACAAGAGATCTTGGAATTAGAAGCCTTATCTGGTCCCGGCATCCTATGTTCACTGGTGCAGCTGTGTGGGCATGGAAATGTTTGCCTACATATGCTCTAGGATCCGAGTTCAAGTCAGGTTCTCATGGCACAAAGGGGGGCTTCCTTAAAGAACTCATCCTCCAGACCTGTTTTAGCTCAAATCTGGGGGATCTTCCATTTTTAACTCAGCGTCGCTTGCTAAGCTGCTTTTTCTAACACTGAAATGACAAACTTTTTGTCTAGGAAAAAAAAAGAACCATATTGTAATCACACATATTTGGAAATCTGTGTACCATTAGCGGGAAGGGAAAACAACAGGAAAACACAACTTCACTCATACACATATCCCATTCATATATTAGAAAATGCACACTTTCCTGTTCGAAAATGAATCTCTGTGGCTCAGATTATATCTGCAAGTGGAACGAGTGGTAATTCTTTTCCTAAAATTAGGGTAGGAGGCATGAGACCCATCAGACTACAGTGCCCATTGCCCCCAGACTGAAAGGACTGATCGGGGACGATGGGGAATGTAGTTCACCAAGATCCAGAGGGTCCCAGCTTCCTAAATCCTGACTCAGTGTGCATTGGCAGGAGTTCCATGAAAAGATGTCCATTCATATCGGGGACAGAAAAACACAGCAGAGAGAAGACTTAGAGATTCACCATTCGATTTGACACTCTAGCTTTCTGCATGCAAAGAGATTTTCATTATTTTTTTTTGGTGGGGCATTGGAACACTTTAACAGATCCAGCCCCAAGTGAAGTCATGAAGCTCCACAGAACCGTGTGTGTGTGTGTGTGTTTTAAGCCATTTTGCCTCTGTTTCGCTGCATGTCTCAACTGCGCCCGTGTTAGCAGGGGCCGGAATTAACTTCCGGTTTTAGTGAGAAAATGTTTGGGAGAAAAGCAAATCTTGGTGAGAAAGCCACTGAGAGAGAAGCAGAACCTCCAAAAAGCCTCCAGAGGTCTGCTGAGGATTCAACTACACTGACCCTTATATCTGCCTATGTCCACACCGGGTTTTGTTTCATACTCCAATCTTGGCCCTGGTGGATTCAAGAAGGATCCTCGAGCCCTTAAACATACGGGCAGCAGCGCCAGTCCGCCACCATTTCATATGCTCCAAACAACTAAGACTTGAAAGTTACCGACGTTAAAATAAGTTAAAAGACCACCTTCAGAATGTGGCACCCCAGATTATCCGATTAGAATCGAGCACAGCCTCCAGATTCTGTACCTCAAAAATGTCTTACAGGGTAGGGGCGAGGCAAGAGAGATTATTTTCCCACGGGCACAGACAAGCCGAGGTGCCTCCCACAGTGAACCGTGCTTCGTCCTTCTGCAGTCCCGCCAAAGCACAGAACAGGGGGTGGGTGGGAACACCAGAGTCTAGTGGGAAGATTTAAGCAGGGGATTCAAACGTCACATACAGATCCTTAGTTACAAATCCTTACCAACCTTTCCAAAATGGGCTAAGCGGGGAAAAATATATCTCACCCATGTTCTGTACTGCCCAGGCCCAACTCTTACCAGCCACCGCTGCCGGGCCCCCACCCTCCAAGATACTGGAACTAGAAATCCCTGGCCAAGAATACAATCCTCGCATCGGGAGAAGGTCAACCACTGAAATGCTCACGGCGTCTTCTTCAGGGACTGGGCCCAGCTTGAGAAGCAACGCTCAACGAAGGGTTGACTTCTTGAAGTCTGTGGAAATACGTTATGAGTGCAGTAGTGTTCGTAGAGCAGAAAATACTTTAGGTGGCGCTTTAACTGGATTTTTTTTGGGGGGGAGCCATCTCATTTCCAACGTCTTTTGAGGAATGTATCTTATCATCATACAGTCTCGTTTCCACCTCTTCTCTGTCATCAGTGCTTCTCCTGTAAGAAGGGAAACCCAGGTCATGATTACGAGAACATATGTCATCCTTCAATATCGGCAGAAGAGAACCTTTCTCTGGGTCCCGCCACCTTCACAGGTGTGGTTGGTAGGCACATGGGAGAGGGCCTTCTCAGTGGCTGCTCCCAGAGACTCTGGAACTCCCTCCCACTGGAGGCCAGCTGGGCCTCATCTCTGCTATCCTTCCACAAAGAGCCAAAGACCTTTCTTTTCAGGCAAGCATTCCCTCAGTGATTGGCTAACCGAGTGTGGGTTTTTTAGATTTATGCTTTACTGCTTTGAATGTATTTTTGGTATTGCTTTTTTTTACTGTCTTTTAGTGTAGTATCTGATATATTTTTTTCTGTATACTTACTGATGTTAGCTTTAAATATTGGCTTTTAATGATGTAAGCCACCTTGGGCCCTTCTTGAGAAGACAGGAGGAGTAAAAATATTTTACATTTCTGAAATGCCCTCTGATACAAACCTTGATTTTTAACACAAACTATAGTACATAGATACTTTGTATTTAGCTTTATACTTTCCTTCCTTTTAAAACAAAGTTTGCTAGGTGGCAGAGAGAATAATTACTGTTGTACAGATACAACGAAGCAGAGCAAATCAATATTAGAAAAAGACAGTTTTAAAAACAAGGGCAGCCCAAACAAAAAGTTGTAACTTCTAAGCTGATAGAGACCTAGAGAATTTATTGAAAATCAGCCCTGGCAATTGCTTTGTGTTTGGGTGAGAAGTGGCTAACGGATGAAGAACAGAGTCAGCTTCTGGGATTCTCCCCAGCCTGGGGCTTCCTTGTGAATGGGAGTGAGCACTAGTTGGTAGGCTGTAGACCATCTTGACTGCTGACACTGGTGTCATCAACATTCAGGCCGCCCTTTGTTATGTAAAGCTCGCTATTAATTTTCCTGCTGGCCAGATCAGGCTAATTCCTGGCATTTTGAATCATGGATAGAGAAACACAACACCCGACACTCATAAACCAGAGCAGTTGTGAAGAACTGGATAGTTAAAATACGGAGAAATCATGTCCACTCCGAAGAGATACTATAAAATATGATCTGGCGCATGCTTCTGTATATTGCAGCTGTGTATCGCAGGAAAGAAATAGTCATATTTTAAAGCAGGATTGACAGAATGCTGGAACCATCAGCATATTCATATTATGGAATATTCCTTCCTTTTCAAAGCCTTATGTATCCACCCCCCTAAGAAAGGGGATTTTATTTAATTGGGGGTGGATGGGTGGCAAATCTTTAAAAAGGAGAAAAGTTGTATTTTCTTTAACCTTGTGTCTCAATTTCCACGTGAAAGGCGGGAGATATAGCCAAACCAATTAGCCAGCCAGCCAACTCAGTCATTACAGTGGTACCTTGGTTTACAAATTTAATAAGCCAGCCAGCCAACTCAGTCATTTACAGTGGTACCTTGGTTTACAAATTTAATGCGTTCTCCGGGATGTTTTGGATTGCGAAAAAATTTGCAAACCAAAACGCAGTTTCCCGGGGTGGGGCTATAAACGTTCTTCGTATTGCAATAAATAAATAAATCATAAACCAAGGCATTATTTTCCATGCATTTTCATTCATAAACCGAAAATTGCGTTAACCATGGCGTTTGTAAACCAAGGTACCGCTGTATGCTTAAGCAGTGGTTCCCAAATCTTTTCCACGCGTGGCTCCTGTGAGCCATCCTGGAGCCTCCCGGGTGCATAAAAAGGCTGCCATCTTCTGCTCCTGCACGAGTGGATGTCTGGGGACAGGGGCCTGGCTTGCCCCAGAGTCTGCGCTTAGACACAGACACGATGTTAGGCACAATCCCGGCCGGCACGCAGGGAGAACCACCGGTCAAGGAGAATGAAGCAGCAAAGGATGAGATGATTCCACAGCACCCCTGGCTGGGTTCGGCCACACCCTAGGGCACCGTGGCACACAATTTGGGAACCAGGGTGCTTAAGGGTTGCGTCTCACTGGGTCCTTCTAGGCACCCATTCTGGGGTCAGCCTCGATTCCAGCCCCGCCGTCGGCCAAACGACAAGACAAACTCACGTCAAAAAAAACCCTACACACCTCCTGTTTGTGAGATTTCTCCTGCTGATGGATCCCGTTTGCCGATCCAGAGTTTCCAATAGTCTAAAACAAAAAGTGCCTGTTAGTAACATTGTGTGCCGTCAAGCTGGGACCGACTTCTAGCGACTCTAACAGGGCTTTCACACTAAGTGAGATATTTAAGGTGTGGCTTTATCCGTTCCACTCCCCCCGGTGAGTTTTCAGCCTCCCACCCCACCACCCCAGTACAGTGGTGTCTCGCTAGACAGTTACCCCGCATGACAGTTTTTTTCGCTAGACATTGACTTTTTGCGATCACTATAGCGATTCTCAAAACAGTGATTCCTATGGGGGAATTTTGCTGGACAATGTTTGGTCCCTGCTTCGCAAACCGATTTTCGCTAGACGACGATTTTGACAGCTCCCTCCACGCTCGCAAAACAGGTGTTTTCGGGACCTAAGCTTCACAAGACAGTGATTTAAACAGTTGATCGACAGTTCGCAAAGCAGCTTTCCTATGGCCGACCTTCGCTAGACAACAACGATTCTTCCCCATTGGAATGCATTAAACAGGTTTCAATGCATTCCAATGGGGAAATGCTTTTCGCTAGACAATGATTTCACTAAACAGCTATTTCAGTGGAACGAATTATCATCGTTTAGCGAGGCACCACTGTACTCAATTGACTGACTTGGGAAGGATGGAAGGCTGAGTCAGCCTTGAGTTGGCTACCTGAGCCCTCTTAGGATCAAACTCAGGCCGTGAGCAGTGTTTTGGCTGCAGGACTGCATTTGAACCACTGCCCCATGAGGCTCCTCTACCTGAAGTAACTCAAAGGCTTCAGCAGTTGCTTTGGTGACCAAAGGATCAAAGCCAGAGGGAATACCGGAAGTCTGAGAGGGAGAATACTTTACCTGTGCTTTTTCTGAAGTGCTCCTCATGGCCTCCATGAGCTTCTCCATCTGCTGGCCCTGCTCCAGCGCGTTCCTCAGGACGTCCTCGGTGTGGACGAGCCGATGCTGCAACCGGAGGACCTCCGACTCCGACGAAGGGTCAATGAGGGAATAACGCCGTTGATCGGTCACGGCTTTCTCTTTATCCTGGACGTGGAATTGTTAAAAAAAGACACCACCCACAAATTAGTGATTTACAAGCTATTACTGCATGGGGGCTCTCCTATCAACATGACTCAATTAGCCACAAAAGAAAGAAAGCAGAGGGAATTTAGGGGCAGCTCACCCACACCAAAGCAATTTTTGAAGAGCAGTAGACATAATCAGAAAGAGAGACAGGATGTTCGCAGTGGCAGGATCCCTGAAGCAGAACCATGGCGGAGAAAATGCCTGCTTTGTTGTGGAATTTTTAAAAGGAAAAAAACACAACTAATATTTAATTAATTCTTATTGGACTATATTTAAAGGCAGTCCCAACAAGGAAAGAAGAGGCTCAGTCCTTTAAACTCAAGGAATGCGCACGAATTGGGGACATCATGATGATGATGATGACGACGACGACGACGACAACAACAACAACAACAACAACAACAACAACAACAACAACAACAACAACAACAGCAATGAAGAGTATAGTTCCAAGAATCTCCCGGCCATCATGGTCATTTGTAGGCCAAAAAGTACCGTATTTTTCGCACCATAAGACGCACTTTTCCCCAACAAAACAGGGGGAGTGGAAAGTCTGTGCGTCTTATGGAGCGAAGAAAACAGATTATATTTTCCTGTTTTCTTCTCCTAAAAAATTGGTGCGTCTTATGGAAAGGTGCGTCTTATGGAGCGAAAAATACGGTAATTTTTTCCAAACTCTACTCTAACATGCAAGATAACCATTCACTAGCAGTTTCTTCTCTCAGAACCTGGGAAAGTTATTTCTTTGGACTACAATGGACTCTTTCCATTGGCAAGAGGACTATGGGAATTATAGTTCCAAAAAGCAATATTTCCAGACTCTGGACATGGCCCGCCAGCGATGCCATGACATTCTGAATTTTGTTAGAGGGTTTTGAACTTTGGTTCAATTCCTCTGGCAGCACAGCAGAAATCCAGGGATTTACACAGCAGAATTAGGTTCAAATACTCCAAAAAATAGACCACCTCTTTTTTTTCATCAACTGGCACTTACCGTTCCAGTAACTCACTTTGAGATGTTAGTGGGAAGAATAAATGGTTTCATTTGCTTACAGTTGAACAGATAACAGCAATGTGAGAAAACATGTCAGCTTGCAGCAATAGGCCTCAACAGACAGCTTCCACCAGCCTGACTAACTCCAACAGACAACAGAGGAAAGGAGTTCAAAGCAGGGAGGCGGGGCTCTCTTTCAAATCAAAGGCAGGAGGGAATGATTGGTCACTGCTGGATAGATTGACAGTCATGCCAATCCAGAAAAGTCTCACCAGCCAAACCATCTAGAGGCAGCATGCGAGGTTGCAATAACTCCAATGAATTTTGTCCTCACTCACCAGGACAATCAGCTTCTCCCGCAATCCCTTAATATCATCTTTGAGTTTCTGCTCCTTCAACCTCCATTCGGCTTTGTGCACCTCACGGCTCAAGTCCCGCTCGGGCCCGGGAGAGTGCCGGTTGGCTTCCATGAGCAACGCGCGGAGCTCATTCAGGCTTCTGGAAGGAGAGTCGAGAGAGAATACGTAGCAGCACGCAGAGGTTGTCATGTAGGCTGAGGTTTAGCACTCTGAACACACCTAACCTTGTCTGGTTTTGGAACCTAGTCAGGGCTTGGCCTAGTTAGTACCTGCACAGGACACCACAAGGGCTCTCCAGTTAGGAGGGTAGGGTTTTCAGATTTCCTTGGACTATAAATCCCATAATTCCCCATTGGAGAGAATATGTAGCAAGGGCTTTCTAGTTAGGAGGGTGGGATTTTCAGATTTTCTTGGACTATAAATCCCATAATTCCCCATTCTGAGAGTTCTAATCTAAATGACAGACACCTTACAGACACCTGAATGTGGTTCATCTGGGAGAAAAGGCCTGGACAGGAAGGCTTTGAGGCCAAGCTAGGCCTAGCTCAGCCTCAAAGCCTTCCTGTTTAGGTGTTTCCTCCAGGTGAGTCACATTTAAGTGTCTGTAAGGGACGCGGATGGTGCTGAAGGTTGAACCGCTGATCCACTGGGCTGGTCAATCGAAAGGTCAGCAGTTTGAATCTGCGCAAAGGGGCTGAGCTCCCGTCACTTGTCCCAGCTCCTGCCAACCTTGCGGGTGGCACTGCAGGTTAAACCGCTGAGCCACTGGGCTGGTCGATCGAAAGGTCAGCAGTTCGAATCTGCGCAAAGGGGCTGAGCTCCCGTCACTTGTCCCGGCTCCTGCCAACCTAGCAGTCCGAAAGCATGCAAATGCAAGCCGAAGAATAGGTACCATTTTGGTGGGAAGGTAACAGCGTTCTGTGTCTAGTCATGCTGGCCACGTGACCACAAAAAGTGTCTGCAGAGAAATGTTGGCTCTTCGGCTTACAAACGGGGATGAGCACTGGCCTCTAGAGTTGGACACGATTGGACTGAATTGTCAAGGGGAACCTTTTCCTGTCAGGTGTCTGTAAGGTAAGGGGGGTTACTGTATCCCAATCTCTGCTCTCACCTCTCTGCCTTACTAGCCCAAAAGCCATGCAGCTGACAGCACAGCGATTGGACTGAATTGTCAAGGGGAACCTTTGCCTGTCAAGTGTCTGTAAGGTAAGGGGGGCTACTGTATCCCAATCTCTGCTCTCACCTCTCTGTCTTACTGCCCCAAAAGCCATGCAACTGATAGCACAGCCAGCCCATCTTTCACGCCAGTGGAAAAGCAGACAAAGATAGACCAAGAGACGGCTCCTGTCTTAGCCTGATCACAGAAGACATTCCATGCAGGGCCTTCCTGGGGTGGCTCCCTGTTGCCTTGGAGCCACCACCAAAAAGACCTGCCTTGCACTAGGAGGTCCTGTAGCGCTACTGTCGCTAGCCACGCCCTCTAAATCCATGACGCAATTGGTTGCAAAGGAGGGAACAAGACCAACCTTTCTTTTTTAAGCAGTTCCTGGCTGATCAGAACCAGCTGACCAGAAGCATCGTGGGTTTTCCTAGACACCGTTTCCAATTCTGCTTCCAGCCTTGTCTTCTCTTTCAACAGAGAATCGGCCTTCCTCTCCGTGCTTCTGCATCTGTTTTCCAAAGCTGGCGGGCAAAAAGGAAGCAAAAGCACACACAATAAAGCAAAATTGAGTCCTTTGGAAAGCTCAACGTGAGTTTTACATCTTGGTTTCCAGCTGTGGCCACTGGAAAAATTCCCAAATTTAGTCCTTCATCCTATATTTTTAGTAACATGAAGAATGCAGATGAAGGATGCTGGAGAATTTAAAAAATGCACATATCAATATTCCATTTGGGTTCTTCATAGTAAAGACACTGTTGATTATGTTTTTATCCCAGACCACGGCTACATCTTATTCCAGATTTTTTTTTAAAAGTAACTGTAATACAGTAGTAACTAATTCCTTTCAAAGATCTTAGAATTAGAACAGTAATTTTAGAAATACATTTTTTCATAGTGAATTTATCAGAACTGGCCACTAGAGGTAGCCAGAGATGCTTCTATGTAGTCTTGTTCTTGGAATACATAGCATCGTATCTAGCTCCCTCTGGTGACCTATTCTGGTAATACTGTACAGGGTGAAAATACTTGTTTCTTTTTTCTTTTACCATGCTATACATAGCTATTATCCATAATTTTCAGCATCCATGGGGGGCTTGGAATCAACCCCCTGCAGATATGAGGGTGCTATTCTAATGATAATCAGACTTCTGTCACATGTAGAAATACTGCTACCACGATTTTGGCTGGATGGCTTTCTTTCTTTAATTTCTAAGCCACTCTTTCTTTCCACCAGAGGGACCAGAGAGGACTAAGAGTTACCTGAAACACCTTAATGAAGATAACACAAGATCGGTCCTATGTCAGAGGAGATAAGCCTATGAATGTTTCTCAACAGGGACTGAATTTTCAGATTTCTTGGATTACTCCAAATTTTCCACTCTAGGAATACTACCTGCTAGAGAAACACCTTATAGACACGAAATGTAGCTCACCTGGGAGATAGGCCTCAACTGGGAGGCTTTGATCCTTAGCTAGGCCTAGCTCTCCCCAGCTTCCTGTTCAGGAGGAAAAGTCCCAGCAAGCACTGGGGCAGGAACAGGAACCCTGGCCAGAACTAGGCCTAGCTAAGCCTCAAACCTTTTGCAGTTAAGGTCTTTCTCACTGGTGAGGCACATTTAGGTATTGGTAATGTATCTGTCTGTCAAGATGACCTCTCAGAATGCAGAATTACGGGATTTGTAGTCCAAGAAATCTGAAAATCTCATTCCTATTTCTCAGAATAATAAAACATTCCTTTTTACATCTCCCAGAATACCCCCCGTGAGCATGCCATCGTTGGGTTTGGAATCACAGGAGTTGCCGTCCAAGCTGTGCTGTTTCTCAGCTACAGACAATAATTTAGAAATGTTATACCTGCAATAAGTCTCATATGTTCCTATACAAGACATTGTTGATTTGCCATCATCCATCAAGCTAATGATTGAATGGGCGACATGTAAACACCATTACTTATTGCTAGGGTCATAAGAGTGATCTCCTTTCCTCCCCGTTTTTTGGAGGCTGTGATCGATCTGTGAGGGAAAACTTTCCAAAAAAGTCCATTTTTAGAAGGAAAGGGCATAACTTTCACGCTGTCTTTTCTACTCCCTCTTCTTGGGACAGTGAGAACAAAGTTGGTTTTTTTTGGGGTGGGGAAGACAGTCCAGTGAGTTTTAATTCACAATTATTCCCCCGCGGCCAAATTCTTCTCAACGCTTTTTTAAAAAAAAAAGTTTGTATGGGTTATGCCAGCCATTCCATTCGGTTTACCAAAAAGAAAGAGAAAATGAAGATAGAGAGAATCAGTCCACTATTTCTGCTGAAGCAACAGCTCTCTCCGGCATTCTTCAACCTGATTGTTTTGGCGTCCAAGTGCAGAGTTAAGAGAATCGTTAAGAACTGGTGCCAAAATAGACCGTTTTTAATCTTATCCACCTTCAACCTTTTTATTTTGTAGGCCACATCCCTCAGCCTGAGAGTAACGTCTGCTTTGTTACGGCTCTTTGCATGTCATAGGAGTGTTTATATGAGGAAAAAAGAAAAACATCGAATAAAGAAATATACTCTGTATGTAGAGAGCTAGCAGATCAGGGAGGTGAGTTCTAGTTGAAATTATTCTCTGAACTGCTAGATTTCAATATGCAGGGAAGTTATTCCATTATGTCATCTCTCTGCTCCATGACCTGACGGTGGAGCCAAGACAGAGAGGCGACCACCCGTTTTATGACCTTCTGTACAACACACGTCTAAGGAAACTTACCACTTACTTGGGACCTTAGCAATTCCGTCTGGGAGACAAGAGATGAGACCTCTTTGTCTTTTTTACTCAGCTTGTCCTGGAGATCTGTAGGAAAAAGGAGGAATCAAATCACTGCCTAGAAACAGGGTGGCAACATTTCTTCTATTAAGGACAATCCACAATGATAATAACCAACAGAGCAAATTCAGTAAGGACATCTAGTTTCAGTTTTCTGTATTTGGATTCAATGCACTGAGTTTTGTAATTTAAACAGAATTACAGTACAAAAGCAGAATCAGCAAATGCAGTTGTTGAAGTAGGTCAGTTAGAACAAACTCATTTGAATCCACGGGGTGAATCTGAATCACCAAATTTCCTGAACGCCAAGCTCATTCGTGCTGCATCACATGAGGATGTCAATCTCTGGACTCCAGACTCAAAATCACAAGCCCTAGTGTTTCATCCTTCAGTGTCAAACCTGGATTCACTATACCCCGCACCCAGAACTCAGTGCCATCTTACCTTCCATGATCTGCTTCATCTTGATCTTCTCCTCCGAGATGTCATTTGTTTCTATCATCTGCAATGCACATAAAGACAACACATACATATTTTGGGGGGACTCAGAACTAACATTTTCCCACACTATCCATGCAGGGCTGGTGGCCAGCCTGAGGAAGTGGGATTTTACTCACGAAAGCTTGCAACTTCTGTGATTTTTAAGTGGTTCAATAAAAGTCTCATCTTACACATGCATATATACCTATATATCACATTGTTTGCTAGAATGAAATGCAAGGGAAGTAAGCTACAGCTTTGGACCTCAAATTACACGAACCTGGAGGGGAGGTTGTCTCTATAATATAGCCAGAGACCATGCAATGTACAGCATTTGATATTTCCATATTTTCTGGCAACTATGGGTCGGGTGGGGGCTTGGAACTGATACCCCGAGGATACCATGATCTTAATGTAACATTTCAATAGTTAATTTGCTCCCTGAGTTTGGTGATGGCTCTATTTACTATTTTTCCTTACTGAAGACTTTGGGGAAGTCAAGCTGGCAGGCTGCATGGTTACAGTCTTTGCCATAAATAAATCTGGCATTGCACAGTTGTTGTTGTTGTTTTGAGGCATTCAAACAGCTTGGTGGTGGCTTTTTTGGAGAAACCAAGGTGCTACAGGTATGATAGTTCCATGTAAAAACATCCATTGGTTTCTTTTTTTTAAAGGAGGGGGAAGAAAACCCTTTACAGTTTCCTGTTTTAAAATGTACCAGCAAGGAAGCAGGCCAGTTAAACTGACCTTGGAAATAATTCATTGCTCCTAATGTGTTAAAACTTTAACATTTTTAATCGTGCAAGGTCAACGAAGCTATTTTTTAACTCTGTTTTGAGTGGCCACTGTCATTTCTTCTCGCTCTGTTACCGGCGGTCTTAATTTTAATCATTAAAGCATTTAAGAAATGAATGCATCGCTTAACCACTTTTGTAAGTGGTTTAGCGATGTACTAAACAGTATTTTCCATACTGTTTAAGTGTAAATGAACGAATAGGCTTTAACTATTTACTGTGGGTGGGCCAACGTTCCCCAGAGGTTTTTGGGCTATATCTCTGCATGCCTGGCAGCTAAGAGGTGTAGCCCAAAAAACGGTAACTCTTCCAGGCTGAGGCACCACAACAGATGTGTCCCAACCTCTGCACATACATTGGCATGTTGGGATGGATGGCGAGACTCCAAAGGCTGCAGCTTGTTCTCTAAGACAAGAACTTTCTCCTGCAACCGCTGGATTTCCTGTTTGCTCTGGGCCTCTGTCTTCTGCAACGCGTCATAGTCCAGCATCTTTTTCTCCGCCAAGGAGATCTGCTCTTTCAAGAAAGCGATGCCTTGTGCCTGGTCTTTGTAGTCGCTGTGCAATTTCTCCAGTTCGTGCACCCGGAGTTCAGCGTCCCGACACTTCTCCTTCAGGTCCTGGAGTTCAAGAAGATGCTGGTTCGTTTTGGTCTCCAGCTGCATTTTCCAGTTGTTGCTGACTTCTTCCAACCCATCCTTGGCTTCTTGAAGCTTCAGCTTCAGACCTTCTTTCTCTTTCACGTGGACTGCCATTTCAATATCATGCCTGGCTTTCAGGTTCTCCAGCTCCAGTTGGTGTTCCATCTTGACGCTTTCCACTGCGGCTTTCAACTCCACAATCTCTTTATGTTGGGCATCTGGGCCCGTATTTAAGGTCGCCTTGAGGTCTTCCAGCGACTTCTGGTGATCGGAGGCCAATGTGTCCAACTTAGACTTCCAATTGTCCATCAGTCCCATGTTCTCGTTGGTGGCCTGCTGGACTTTTTGCTTGAGATCCACGATTTCTTGGGAGTATTTTTCATTGAGTGCTTTCAACTTCTCCATCTCCTGCTGGTGCTTCTTCAAGGTCCTCTCATACTTCTCCTTCAGCTGGATGCTCTCTTTCTGGTGCTCCTTGTTGGCCGAAAGCAGCTGATCACGTAGACGGAGGGCTTCACTCTGCAAGCCAAAGGTGTGGTCTGGAGACTCCGGCAGATTGGAAGCCTTCAAACACCTGAGCTCCTCCACCTCAGTCCGTTTCAAAGTCAGCTCCTCCTCTAGTTGAAGGATTCTGGACTTCTCTGCAACTGTGGTCAACTGCAAAGTTTACAATGGGAAAAAAAATACACACACACACATATAGAGACATCGTCAGTTCTTGATTCTCCCATAAATCAATGACTTCACAGGATGGGCAACCTTTGATACCTTCCTAGATGTTGCTAGAGAACAATTCCCAACGGACTTGACAACTGGCCCAACGGAGAGGGATTGAAATCCAAAAACATCTGGAAGATACCAAAGTTAAAGAAGGCTGCTGAAGAGTCTCTTCACACATTGGGGGGTTTACCTTTTTTAAAATTTAATTTCTACAACCCAAGATATTTTAAGTGCACATCTACTTGAACGAATGCAACAACGTATCTTTGGAAATACAATCGGCACACAGATCAGGAAATAAAAAAATAAATGCAAATCCCTTCCCGACTAGAGCAAACCTGGGTCGTCTGCTACGTAATGTGTGAACAGCCTCTTAGCACAAAGGAGGCAGTTTCTGAGTAATGCAAATGAGAATCCCTCAGAAGCATGATTTTCTTTCTTAGTTTTGCACCAGGGTAACTTTTTCCCAACCGAGATTACTTTGGAGTTAGAACACAGATAGGCTGGATCCAGACAGCCAATGCCGTGAGAAAGTTCCTTTACCAAGAAACAGAACAGCTTCTTTTTCAAATGTAATGTTTGTTCCTAAAGGGTGTCTTGTCTCTGTGTATATGTGCACACCAGCCTGTTCAGCTAATGTGACAAATTTCGCTATAACTGGCTCTTTCGTCCCCTAGATTTGGATATGACTGGACTTAATTGTCGTCAGGACTCTTTACCTTTAAAATAAATTATAAGCCTAGCCTTCTCATAGAGACGGCTGGGGCTCTGTACTGTTCCCTCCACAGCCAGCCCAAAATAATCTTTACATTTCAGGAGCAAGCAATAGGAGGGTGTGTGAGTGACGAAGTCACAGAGTAATTAGAAAATCCTTCATTTGAAGATTGGGACAGAAAATCCCAAGCTTGCTTACAACGGAGGATGCTTGAAATCGCACTTCTCACCCGAATTTACGACCTACGTCCGAATTCACTTCCTACAACCAAACTTGGAACAGGTATCTGCCATGAATTTTTGGGACTCAGAGAGACTTTTTTTTTTTCTGCACCATCATGAAGAGGTGGTACACAGCCTGAGGAAGTGGGATTTTACCCACGAAAGCTTGCAGTTTGTTTCCAATACTTTTTTTTTTAGGTTCACAGTAAAAGTACAGTGGACCCTTGACTTACAGACGGCTTGACTTACAGACTTTTTGAGTTACAGACTTCTCTGGCCGCTTTTTTTTTTTCTGCACCATCATGAAGAGGTGGTACACAGCCTGAGGAAGTGGGATTTTACCCACGAAAGCTTGCAGTTTGTTTCCAATACTTTTTTTTTTGAGGTTCACAGTAAAAGTATCACCTTAACTCTTGCATTGGTCTAATCCTGAACCACACAGCCTTTGCCTCATTCTTCCGAGCCTCTCAGGGTTTCAGTAAAGGAAAAACTTTGGCTCAGAGTCAGCCACTCCTATCCATAGTGTGGGAACTGTGATGACACAGAGCAGTTTTTGAAAGCACAAGGAGAAAACTGTTGGCTTTTTGCTCATTCTATTAATAAAATGCACTCAGATGTGTAATCAACATTAAGCTACAGACTCCGAAATCCAATTGCTTGTCCCATTTGGAGTAGACTCGTTGAATCAACGGGACTTATGTGTAGGGTCACTGCTTAGCAATGGGTTCAGTAGGTGTCCTGTAGCTGGGAATAGCAACTGGATGTGGGCCATTACATTCATTTCCAAGGCACCAGCTCCTTGACTGTCGTGTTGCTTACCCTGGTGTAAAAGGGCTTCTTAAGAAAATCACCCCAAATACCCATCCCATGGAAATGGGTTAGGAGACGTTAGCAAGAAGCTCAAAACGAATAAGGAAGGACGGATGCTCGATGTAAAAAAAGCAAGCCGCTGGTGTTTTTATGATGACCTTGGAAAGCAGCTTATGGGTTCGCAACATGTTTGACTGGAGGAATCATGTTGGGGGGAGGGGGAGCTATGGAAAGAACAGGGTCATCCGGCAAATTCAGAGGCAGGAAGTCTGGATGCGAGAATGTGACCAATCAATGCCATAAGGAAGGACGGATGCTCGATGTAAAAAAAGCAAGCCGCTGGTGTTTTTATGATGACCTTGGAAAGCAGCTTATGGGTTCGCAACATGTTTGACTGGAGGAATCATGTTGGGGGGAGGGGGAGCTATGGAAAGAACAGGGTCATCCGGCAAATTCAGAGGCAGGAAGTCTGGATGCGAGAATGTGACCAATCAATGCCTTTCATTCCACATTCAGAGGCAGGAAGTCTGATCAGTGTTGGCTTCTTGGATGCGAGAATGTGACCAATCAATGCCTTTCATTCCATCAGGGAAGGTCAAAGTCAACATCTGGGATTCCCAACCTTGGAATTTCATAGATCTTCTTGGACTAAAACACCCAGCAATCCTATCTGGCACAGCTAGTGAGAGTTTTAGGTCATGAACATCTGGGGACACCAAAGTTGGGAACCATTAGTCTAACTCAAAGGTTGCGAAATTCAGGTCGTCTTGAGATCCCAGACATGCTTTCCCCCAATGGCTATCTACTCCCTCCCACGACAACATTCTTGGATGGTTCCTCGGCTTTTCTATACAATAGGACCCCTGTATCCGTGGGGGATTGGTTCCAGACCTGTGGATCTTGAAAACTGCAGATAATAGTGAACCCTATACAAGGGGGAAAAAATAGAAATAAGTATTTTCACCTATATTACTAGAACTGGCCACTGATGGAAGTCAGAGACCATGCTATGTATTCTTCAACAGCAGGGATACATAGCATGGTCTCTGGCCCCCTCAAGTGGCCAATTCTGGTCAAGACATCATAAAAATACATATTTCTAGTTTTTTACTTTTAATATTTTTAATATTTTCAGACCACGACTCAGTGAAACTGTGGCTACTGATCCCATGGATACAAGGGTCCTCCTGCATGTTTTTGCCCATTCTAAAAGTTTGTTATTCCTCTCCCAAAGGCCTTCTTATGGGGAAAAATAGAAATAAGTATTTTCACCTGTATTACTAGAACTGGCCACTGGAGGAAGCCAGAGACCATGCTATGTATTCTTCAACAGCATGGTCTCTGGCCCCCTCAAGTGGCCAATTCTGGTCAAGACATCATAAAAATACATATTACTAGTTTTTTACTTTGAATATTTTTAATATTTTCAGACCACGACTCAGTGAAACTGTGGCTACTGATCCCATGGATACAAGGGTCCTCCTGCATGTTTTTGCCCATTCTAAAAGTTTGTTATTCCTCTCCCAAAGGCCTTCTTATTGGTACTAAGAGCTTTAAACTCAATTATGCTGCTATTTGTGGTCCCACCTCTTTCGCCTGTCTTCCAAAGTCTAGAACGGATTCCCCCACAAACTCTGATGAAATCAAATTTCCATTCTCAGGTGGGAAGAAGTCTTCCATCTTAATCTAAATGTTTGGAGGCAAAATCAGAAAGCCAGGGAGGGACGCACAGATCTCCTCATCCAAGCCCCCCCTCTCTCAATGAAAAAATCCAGAATGACACCACCGACGTCAGAAAACCGTCTAGCTTCTGACCTACCATAACCTACAGAGAAGCAAATTTGGCCCCTTCGAAGTCAAAAGCAACCTGAGGCAAGGGAGTAAAAACCTGGTTGCTTCTTAAGAAAAGGCAAATAAATAAAATTACACCCTGGTGGAAGCGGACCTTGAAAACGATCAAGGTAACCTCAGGATCACAAGGTGCAACAGTGCCAACAGCCTGGATCAGTGTTTAGAAGGACCGTCTTCAAAACCTACCAGGTACATTTTCAATAATGCAATCATATGCAAGCTAGGCTTGGAAAGGTTGAAACAGGCAATGCAACGACACCCTATTTTATAGACAAATGTCTCCTGCACCTTGTTTCAAGGTAAAGACCCCTAAGAAGGAAGAAGAGAAGGGGGTTCAAACTTTCCCAACTGCAGATTGGCTGGTTGGCCAACGGTTGGCCATTGACCCATAGTTCTCCCTACTGTAGTAAAACGCATTCTGCTTGCCTCTTGATTATAGCACTTATTCTTTGATCAACTTTTATGCAACAGGCCTCCTCACTTTGGTCTTCGGTCAAAAAGAGGGAACTGCAGTCCCCGGATGGAGGAAATATAATGCTCTTTATTCCAGTGTAAAAATGCCCAACGTGTTCAGCCTTCTTCAAGGGCTATGTAGAGTAACATAAAAAGAATGACAGCTGCAACACTGTAAGTGACTGGGGACATAAGAAAGTATATTTTTAACAAAGGGTACGAGTTGCTGTCAGTGTGGCATTTCACACCGGCTGCACAATCAGCAACTTGTGTTAGGAAAAAAAACAGTTTCTTTCAGTAATCGTTCTATGTATAAATGGCCCAATATTCGCAATATAGTCCCCTCTCTTACATCTGAAAAAGTGGTCTGGTTCATGAAAGGTCATATTAAAATATAGCAGTGACTCTTTCAGGTGCCTTTATTTATTATCATCTTTATTTTTCGTCTCTTTTTGTCTGATACGCTAGCACAGACGACCAGGGCTACCTCTTCTAAAGATGATCCTAGCAAGCTTCAGCTGCTGATCTGGGTGGCTCTATATCCTTCTTTCCCCCTTTTTAAAGAAGGACAGTCTTTCATCCAAGAGACGGGGAGACCACCAGCCTCTGTTTGAAGGTCTGTCAGTTGAAGACAGATCTAAAGCTTAAAGCACGGATCCTTATCTAAAGGGTCACCATCAGAGATGGGCACGAACTGCGTTTGGCGTTTCATGCCGGTTCGTCCTTTGCTGTTTGGCAGCACTTCCCAGCCCCACCTTCTCCAGCGTGCACCGACTCACGGGCAGCTCACAGAGGAGGCAGGGCAGGGAAGCCGAGGTGGACGTCTTTCTGTGGAGGCGGGGCTCGGAAGCGCCAAACGTTCGTTCATCCAAAGGACGAATTGACAACGAACTTCCGAACCTGTGGTTCGCGCTCATCTCTGGTCACGTGGTCCGTTGCACAAGGCGTCTGACATTTTCGGATCTTCCGTAACAGCAGCTCTTGGGAGCTTTGGAAACCTCATTGTTTCAGCTGCCTGAGCAGTGGCCCACAAGTAGACCTTTGCTGGATTTGGCATCCTGCGCCACTGCCTTCATCGGGATCCCACCCAAAGGAGCAAAGTAATCAGGGACCTCCAAGTTGCCCATCTCTAAATACCACCAGCAGACACATCATGGGACCACAGGACTGCCTTCTTTCTTCAGAGGCATGATAATTCTATTTAAATCCAGAAAATGATTTCTCACGAGTCTTTCTGTCCCCCACCGGATCTCAAGGGGCTCCTAACATCTGGTGCCCAACGCCCCACAGTTTTTATACTAACAGGCGCTCCTACCTCGGGAAGGTTCTCCCTGTCTTTGACTCTCCCCCTTAAACAGGTCAGATTATTTCATAATCACAAGCTACGCCGGAGGGCTGTGGGCAGAAACCACCTTCCCTTATTGGAGAAGAGTGAGGTTAAGCCGCAGGTGTGGACCTTCAACATCCTTACAAGGCTGACACCAAATTCCAGAATTCCTGGGGTCTGGTCACCAGCAGCATGGGATTTGGGTTGAGCAACTTCCCCCCCTCCGGACCCACTTGAAGAGTCTTGAGGAAATCTCCCTTTGGATAGATCACAGAAGACTTTGCGATAAGCCCCTCCCAAAGGGCTGAGGGGTCTCCCACTGTCCGTCCTGCCTCTTTTCACTCCCTGAACGTCCACCCAAATTGAGCACGTTTATGGTGCCCCTGGAGGAACTTTCAGCACCCTCCTTCCCCTTGAAAGCATCCACGGGGGAAACAGAGGTCACTGTGGGCTAGATAGACCTCTGGCTTTGACCCCTCCTTATGTCCTTCTCGAGGTGCCGTGCCACCAAGCTGTCCCTGACTTAGCAGGACCCCTGATCTCAAAAGGTTCTCTCCTTGACAGCCCTTGCTAAGTAAAGTCTGGGGCTTCCTCTGAGCCTATCTATCTCATCCTTCCTCCTCAAGCATTTCCCGGGACTGTCACATTTTCTAGCGAGTCCTGTCTTCCCATTAGATGTCCAAGGACAGCCTCCGTTGAGTCATTCCGGCTTCTAGTGAGAGTTCAGGCCTCCCTTAGTCCGACACCCACTGATTTGTCTTTCTGGAGGTTTGTGGTAGCCACAAAGCTCTCCTCCAGCACCACATTTCACCTGAATGAATGTTCTCCACCTTTCATGTTTACCACCATGTGTCCCATGATGAGACATACTCTTGGGTCCATATCCAGCTGCTGGTATTAACAGTTGTTTTAGTTTTATTGGGACTTGCTGGATAGTTCAGTGGTTTAGATCTCTGGCTGCGGTGCCAGAGGTTGGGAGTTCGATCCCCTGCCCCCACTGTGTCTCCTGGGAGAAGAGCCAGCCTGGATGGCCTTGGGCAAGCTGCACAGTCCCAGGGATACCCCCCCCCCCAAGAAGAAGGGAATAATCAACCACTTCTGAATGCTCTCTACCTGGAAAACCCTGGAAAAGGTCTTCATAAGCCAGAATTGACTTGCTGGCACATGATGATTATTACTAGTTTCATCGGAGCAATGAGACTCAGACAAGCTGACACCTAGGTAAATCCCATTGATCCTATGGGTCTACTATGGTTGGGACTAACAGAGCACAGGAAATAAACCTTCCCTCAAACACCCCCAAATACCCCAGCATTAAATCCCATCCTTTGGAATATTTCACTCTAAGGGGGGGTTCACCGAATCCTGCATTCTGAGATTTGAGACCCACGATTGCGGAATTTGGCTTTGGATGCAGAATTCCTGGGGCCCTGAGGAGTCCTGCAGGGATGACGGGTGAATACAGATCGTCCTTTACCAAGTGGTCATCAGCCGTAGTGTGTCCCGTTCAGCAAACCATGGGAGCAAAAAGTTGACAGGTGTGTAGTGTGAAGAATTTTACCAGGTCTCTGATGGGGGGGGGTCATGGTTATCCACAACCACCTCCCCTTTTTCTTCCCCTGTAAGAATGCTCCCAGATAACACAAGTGGCTGCATACAATACCACAGGGTAAAAAAAAATCCCTGTATTCGTCCGATGATTAGTTACTGGTTTGTTAATGGTGAATGATGAATGGGCTCCAGTCCCAATGGGGCAAGACAAGCCAGAAAGCAGGGGATCTGGGGAGGGATTCACCCCCAGGGAAGGCAACACGGCCTAGCATCACCACCTCCGGAAGGTGGAAGGCGAAGGCAGGGTGCCGACTGAAAATGTTAGAAATGAAATAATGGAAGATCAGCAACAAATAAATACATAGATAGAGAAACAAAAGTTGATCGGACAAAGGGTTCTGGGTGGCAAAAGAAACAGAGCCAGGAAGCAAATTGACTTGCAGGCAAATTGACTAAGCGTGAAGCAGGAGAGGCTGGGGAGAAGAGCAGAGCCGGGAAGGGGTGGTTAGGGGGTGGATTTACCCTGGCATCCTCCAATTCTTTGAGAAGCTTTTCAGCCTGCGTCTTCTCAAACAAGAGGTTCTGTTCGAGCTCCCTGATTCGCGCGTGCTCCAGCTGCGTCTGAGTCTGGTCGCGCGTCAGGAAGGAAAAAACGGAAAGAGCGGAAGGAAGAAAACAGAAATAAAGAAAAGAAAACGGGAGAGAGAACAGAACACAGGGAAGCATATAAAGAGAGGAGGCGAGACGAGGCGGCCCCCCGGGATCTTCCTCGTGTCAGAGACAAAGAAATAATAATAATAATAAATCCTATGGGGGGAAGGCAGGGAGGACCATGATAGATTCCCTCAGGCAAAGAAAACGAGAACATATCAACTCCTGTAAAAGAGACAACTTTTGGGTCAGCCCAATCACGTACTCACAACAGATAAAGACAAACTCCCCCAAGTTATACGTGTAAATAAACCAGTGATTGGCAACATTTCTTGGGAGTCCAAGAACCCATCATTCTCTCCCTTCCCTACACTGGCCAAGCTCTCTGGCGAATTCTGGAGACACGGCCCCAATTTTTTGTAGCTTTTCTAATGTGCTGCCGTTTGTCATGGGATGCAAGATGGCAGCCCCTCCTCCTGCACATCACTGGTGAAGGGTCCTTCTTCAGCACCTTTTTTCGAGGATGGGGGAACCGCTGGAAATGGGAGTTCCGGATTTGGCACTGCACCCCTTCGCAACCCCAGCCAAGATCTCTCCGAATTCAGTTTGTCCGATATTCTGTGGCGCCTTTGGAATCCTTGCTGTTCCCCCGCCCCCCAAAACCCTTGCCATTGCCCCCCCAAAAAACCACGTTGGGAGCGGGAGGTGGGAGCAGATGACAAGGAAAGCTTCACCGAGTCAGCAGACCCAACCTCAACTGGTCTGGACCGTTCTAAACCAGCTCAGGGACAGCATTCCTCAGGAGGGTGAATGGCATTTGGTGATTTTCCCAAGCTTCCCCATCCAACGTGATTTTCCCGTGGCTCCCGATCTGATAAATCACAGACGAAGAGTTGTGTCCAAAGGCCACAACTGTATCAGAAAGAGCCATCGTATACATAAACTTCCCATGGCTTCTAATTAGAGATGGTTCATGCTGGCTCATACTTTGTCCAAACAGGTGTTCAGTGCTTCCAAACTCTGCCTCCTCCAGCAGCCGCCCACTCAGAGGCAGCACCCAGAGGAGGCAGGGCAGGGAAGCCAAGGTGCTGCCTCTAAGTGGGCAGCTGCTGGAGGAGGCAGAGTCTGGAAGCACTGAACATCTGTTTGGACAAAGCACCAACCAGCACAAACTGCTGGTTCACGCCCATCTCCTCACTAGAAATTATGTAGTATCCATCCAAGACCATAAAGGAGCTCTCTTGCAAGTACAAAGAAAAACACACACACAACCTGTTCTTGGCCCAGCATCTATGTCATGAAATTTACAAACACCCTGCATTGTTTCAGGACCATAGCAACCTCCAACATGACGAACCTGAACACGCTTCCTTGGGAAAAGAGACACAGAACTCAACTGGATTTGCATCTGAGTAAACGAGCAGAGTTGTGATGCTAACAAGAATCAGCCATTCGCTCCTATGGTGCCCTTCTGGTGGTTTTGAATTACAACTCCCATTATCCCCAAACCCTGGCTAGGGTGGCTTCAAGGCTGCTGGGAATTCTAGCATCTCAAAGAGAAGAATGGCGAAATTCTACATTTCCTTATTACAAATAAATATCGTCAGGATGTTAAGTGTGTGTTTAAGCTTCGTTTCTTAAGAGCAACTGAAGAACTCCAGATGGTGTTGGGACTACGACTCTCATCCCCATGGGCCATGCTTGATGGGAATTGTAGTCCCTCAAAACCTGGATGGCTGGACTTCAGCCACCCCAGTGAAGAGCACAGAACACACAAACACACTTACACGTGTGATTAGGAAGGGATGATTTTGAAGAGGTCAAAATAAAGAAGAACGAGTCTTATCACAGAATTGTAAACACAGATTATTGATATATGTCATTCTTAAATCTATAAGCAATGGTTTCCAACTATGGATCACCCAGGTGTTCTTGGACTGCAATTCCCAGAAGCCTTCACCCCCAGCGGTGCTAGCTGGGGTTTCTGGGAGTTGTAGTCCAAGGACACCTGGGTTGCCCGAAGTTGGGAACCACTGGTTGACGTTATTCTACATCGCACACATCGTAACCATGCATTTCATCAATCAAGGGCTGAGCCGTAAGCTATTTTCACTGGACATGAAAAGGACTTGTCCAGAAATCAACCAAAGCCCCAGAGAAGTCTGGAGCCCAAGACATCACCATGTCAAGCCATAAGGTAGGGGTGCATGAGGGCAGATTTACCTCCAAGTCCCCCTTCGTAATGGATTCTTCCTCCACACGGAACTGTAGATCTTCTACTTTCCTGGGGAGGGAAGAACCGGACATTTCAGCCATGTGACCAAATCCAATCTCAATGCTGATCCATGAACCTTAACGCGGTTAACTATTACTTCCAAACTTCCCCATTTTCTTTTTTTTTTTTTAAAGCATTAACAAGGCTTTTCTCGAACCTGGTTTGACGTGATTTCCTGCCCATTCAGAGCTGTACTGCACTCTTTTATTTCTCTCTGGGCAAAATATCAGCATGCCGTTTAAGGTGGCAAAATCAGCTAAAATTTGTGATGGAAGGGTTTCAGTAAATGTATAATTAGTTTTCGTTAACAGCAGCAACTTTTGAAGAGAGGAACACATTTGGTACTAATTATGCCTCTAGGAGATTTTTTGCTGATTTATTTTTATGGTGATAGTAATGCACGTCCTTGAGATTATCTATCTATCTATCTATCTATCTATCTATCTATCTATCCATCTATCCATCTATCCATCCATCCATCCATCCATCCATCCATCCATCCATCCATCCATCCATCCATCCATCCATCTCTATCTATCTATCTATCTATCTAGCTATCTCCCGCCCTTCTAGACAGGAGTCTACTTTTATGTCTTTATGGTTTGCTTGTATCGTGGATATTGGTCATTGAAGAATAAAGTTTATCTATAAGCATGCTACGTTTAAAAAACACAACAAATTAGAACAGTTACTTTATAGAGAGTTTGGAAGAAAGTTATCCATTTTAATGTATATTAAAATTATTAGTTTTATGTCTATAGAAGGACAAGTTAACTGATACATCTGAAAAACAATGTTTTGAGAGTCACAGTGTTTTAATGTTACTTTCGAAACATTATTTTTTTTATAGATGAGATGCATCGTCCTGTTTAAAAGCAAACACTCATGATTCTGATGTTATTTCCAAACTCTGATTTCATTGGGCCAGTAAATCAAAAAATTTAGTTGCTTTTTAATGTTTCCTCCAAGTGCATTCTCACTAGTTTTCCAAGAGGCATGTTTCAAAGTTTATACCATTCTCCAACCAATGCTACGTGTGTTTTTCTTTCTAAGTAACAGGAAAAACAACATCTGATGCAAAGAGGGAATGTGACAAGTTGCTTTTTAACATTGCCACAAATAATAAGAGGTTTCAAAAAATTTAGTTGCTTTTTAATGTTTCCTCCAAGTGCATTCTCACTAGTTTTCCAAGAGGCATGTTTCAAAGTTTATACCATTCTCCAACCAATGCTACGTGTGTTTTTCTTTCTAAGTAACAGGAAAAACAACATCTGATGCAAAGAGGGAATGTGACAAGTTGCTTTTTAACATTGCCACAAATAATAAGAGGTTTCATTTGAAAAGAATGTAATCAGTAATTAAAACAAATTACTTCTGAAAAATAACTTAACATGCTCTGTATAACTGAGGCTCTAGATGTTTCCAAATTAGGTTTTCATCACGCTGTCATGCTATCATTAACAGAACTTCAGACATGAAGATGATGATGCCTTCTGCTAAAACCTTGCTACACTTTTCCAGTTTCCGATGCCTTCTTACTCCAGAATATCTGTGGCAAAGATGAAAGAGATGTAGTTTTTTATTTTCACTAAAACACTCATAATTAAGAGCGGATTTTCATATTTCTTGGATTATAAATGCCATAACTCACATTCTGGGAGTTCTGCCTGAATTGCACATACCTGATGGACACTTAAATTTGGCTCACCTGGAGGAAACACCTAAACAGGAAGCCTTCGAGGCTGAGCTAGGCCTAGCTTCACCTAACTTCCTGTTCAGAAAAAAAGCTCCCAGCTAGCACTGGGGCAGGAACAGGAAGTTTGGGTGGAGCTAGGCCTAGCTAAACCCCAAAGCCTTCCTTGTCCAGGCCTTTTCTCCCAGTTGAGCCACATCCAGATATTTGAGAAATGTCTGTCTGTCTCCCAAAATGGAGAATTATGGGATTTATAGTTCAACAAATACAGAACCACTGTCCCTACTTGTAATCTCCCTAATTCTGGGAGGTGCCGTACGAACAAAATTTCCTGGCTCCGATCAAAAACCTTCCTTCTGCAAATATTATTTCTCATTCTCTCCCTATCTCTGTTTTATGGGTGTTGCTTAATTTTTTTTTAAACTCAAGGATAAAGAAGCCACTCTTTTCCTCTTCGACGTATATTACCCAAAATGCTGCAGAGAGAACTGTTATCAGCCGTGCTGCTAAGGAAGATATGGCGTGAAAGGCATCCGGACTGTTATATTAACCGTTCATCGCTGCACCAAGTAATCCTACATGTGTGGTTATGCAACATTTGACAAGCGTTTGTGAGGTGCCTCTAGTAATAAAGGGTGGGGTGTGCTTCGATCAAGAGCTAACCATCACTGGCTATGTGCTATAAATGGCTGAATGCAAAACACACATTTCCCTGAAGGTATTTTAGCCCTCCAATAACCAAAGTCAGATACCAAATCCTGCTCAAGCAGATTCATTTAACAATCACTGACACTCAGTCTCCTCCTGTGTTCCAGTATTGGTATGTTGACCTGTAGACTGTGAATACGCCGGAAGCGAGTAGTCCACATCCCTCTCCCCTCCTACTCCTGATCTACTGGAGTCTTTGCAACCTCGCATGCTGCTTTTAGTAGATTTGGAGGGGAGGAGCCTTTCTGGACTGGGGTGACTGTCAATCTCTCCAGCACTAACCAATTGTTCCTCCCCTGCCTCTGATTTTAAAGACAGCCCCACCTTGCTGCTCAGTGCCTTTTCCCTTTCTGTTGCCTGCTAGGAGACTGTGGTCTGCTGAAATCTGTTGCTGAAGGCAGTCACGTTCGCCAGTTTGCTGTTCGACTTTTTCAACTGCACGTCAAGGAATGTTTTTTATTCTTTCTTCTTACTAACGTCTCAGAGTGAGGGGAACTTGAAGCTCAATCCGCTCTGTAAAATCCCTACATCCTGCTGTGCAGCCAGAGGCATTTTAATGAAAATGCAAAACTCCGCAGCAAAATCCAGATTGTCTTGGCACAGGGAATGAATGCAACACTGGGAGGCAACGTCCAGAGTGCAGAAATGTTGTTTTTTTGCACTACAATTCCCATCGTCCCCTAGCTCATGAAGTGAGTCTGCTGTAGTCCAAGAAAGTAACATTCCCACGCTCTGGGCATGGCCTCCCAAGTGATGCATTCCCCATGCCAAGGCAATCTGATTTTTGTTGCAAAGTAAATGGCCATTGATGGGAAAAGGGGTGAGCTAATCTGGGAGGGACTTGAAGCTATTCTGCTCTATGATTCCCTGCACTTGTGCTGTGCGGCTAGACTATTTTAACTAAAAATTCAAAACCTGCAACACATTCCACTCCCAGCCAACCCCTCAGATAATAGGCACCTTTTCTCCTCTTCCAACTGGTTCATCATCTCAATCTTTTCCTTCTGCGCCGCTTCTAGCACCGTCCGGGCCCTTTGCAGATTTCCTTCTGCTTCAGCGACATACTAGGGAGTGAGGGGAAAAAGTCTCAACATGTATAAAATGCCTTGACAACACACTAATCTTAGAGGCATCAATCTTGTGTATTATAAAACACTGAACATCTCATATATTGCTGTGGGTGATGGATTTCTCTCTGCAGAGAGCAAGATAAATAAACACAGCAGGAATGGATTGTGTTCTTGACAATATTACCCTTCTGATATCTCGCTTGTCCTTCGGGAATCTCACAGGATTCTTTTTTTCGGGGGAATGCTGGAAAACCCTCTGATGCCAACACAGGCTAAAATTTAGACCTACGTTGTTCAGCAACTCATTTCAGAGCCAGTCTAGAGATTAAAACAGCATGAAATCTGAGCAACTCATTTCAGTCTAGAGATTAAAACAGCATGAAATCTGGGATCAGATCTCCCCCTGTTTCCCCAGATATTCAAATACACTTGACATTGTAATAACAGGAGTTTAAACTCTGCAGCTAACTTGCTTCCGGGATTACATGCCAGCCTACGTAGGCCATCTCACCTGCTCGTGTTGGGCTTTCAAGACGGCAATCTCTTTCTCCACCTCGCAAATGCGGCTGGTGGCCTTGGCCACCTCGGCCCGCTCCAGGTCCCGCTCTGCCAGGAGTTGCTCGATGTGTTGCTGCTTCTCCTTCAGCGCCTCCTGCAGCGCTGTGGTGCCCGAGATCTTCCGGGCGTAGCGAGAGGAGGTCTCGGTCAGCTGCAGAGGGAGAGTCGGAAAACCTTGAGGGAAAACGGCCAAGCTGAGGGAGATGTTTCCTCAGCTTCACACAAAAACTGAACATCCAAACACGATGAGGATACAGTGGTGCCCTGCATAGCGACGTTAATCCATTCCAGGATTAACGTCGCTATCCAGATTCGTCGCTATGCGGGGGGGAACCCATAGAAACGCATAAAACTCCATTTAATGCGTTCCTATTGGGGAAAAACTCACTGCTAAGCGGGAATCCTCCATAGGGCCGCCCTTTTCGCCACCTCAGTAAGCGAGGAATCGGCGCGAAAACGCTGCGGGTGGCCATTTTGTTGATCCGGCGGCCATTCTGGAACCGCCAATCAGCTGTTTTCTAAACATCGCAATGCGAAGATCGGTAAGCAAAACGCTTACCGATCATCGCAATGCGATGTTTTGCCACTTAAAACATCGCAATGCAAAAAACACGTCGCTATGCGGATTCGTCATTAAATGGTGCACTTGTTAAGCGAGGCACCACTGTATATGAAAATATTGCTTTTTTTCTCACCATGTGTGGTAGCTTTTCCTCTTCTTCCCCCAAATCTCACCTTGACACCCAAGCTGAGACCCCTCTTAATCCAATGATGGCCACTTCTGGCCTTCCAGATGATTCTGGCTGACAGGTCTGACAACCTAGGCCAATGGTTCCCAAACTTGGGTCCCCAGATATTCCTGGACTACAACTCCCATAAGCCTTCACCACTAGCTGTGCTGGTCAATATTTCTTGGAGTTGTAGTCCAAGAACATCTGGGGACCCAAGATTGGGAACCATTGGCCTAAACCAAAACATCCAGTGATGACGGATTATGATGCTTGCCCCACCATCTTGGATTCCTGGTGTAGGGTAGTGGATAGAGTGAGGGACTGGGACCCTAGGGAGCCGGGTTCAAATCCACTTTTGGCCATGGAAACTCAATGGGGAGTGGGACTGTTAAAACCACTCCTTAAATATCTCACTTACCTTGAAAGCCCTATTAGGGTTGCTAAGAGTCAGTTTTGACTTGACAATGCAGAACACAGATATACCACCACCCCCTTAAGGCTTCTCACTTCCCGCTAAGAGTCAGTTTTGCCTTGACAATGCAGAACACACAGATACACCACCACCCCCTTAAGGCTTCTCACTTCCTAGGAAAGTGTGGAGCGTGGGATGGGTGATCTCAGCAAAGAGGCCTAAGAGGCCGTTGTTGACCATCTCCAGACCAGACCTCCAGACCAGACCTCATGGGACAAAGCTGGCCGCCAGGAGCTCTCCGAGGTGCTGAAAGGTCTTGTAGCTCATGAAGAGCCTGAAGGTAAGAAATAGATAGTTCCCTACCAGTCCGCTCCGGCTGGGCCTTCCCCCAACAGAAGAGGCCACCGAACTGACTGAGCTGATGGACGAACTGCTAGGGCTGTGGGTTAAGGCTGACACCCCCATGGCCATCCGCTTGCTCTTCTTGGCTTTGGCTGGGCTGGTGGAGGGGAAACCAATCCGGATCACCTTGTGGATGGGTGCAAAGAGGCCAAACTTGGGTGGGCACTGGAAATACCTGAAACAGAGCAATGGAGAAGCAAACAGAGGTTAAGTAAGACCCAACCCCATATAGCCATGTCCAACACAAACCAAACTCACGTCATCATTTTAACCCACATGGTGTCTCCCTTCAACACTATCTTTGGTAGCACAGCATGCAAGGTCTTCCAAGTGGTGGCTCCTCAACTGTGAACTCTCATTCCACCATGAAGCTTGTTCTTAACTGTTAGAGTAGTACGACAATGGAACCAATGACCTTGGGAGTTGGTGAGTGCTCCAAACGCTGGAGGAATTCATGAGAAAATTGGACAACCATCTGTCAGATTTGCTTTGATTTGGATCCTTGCATCGCCCAATGGATTGGACTCAATGGGCTTCTAGGCCCCTTCCAGTTCTATTAGTCTATGATTCTATGGGTGACTTGAAGAGAGTAATGTCCTGTGCCCCATGGCCCATGCCAGCTTCTTTCCTACAGCGTTTACCCACCATGGTACACATTTTACCACCAGTGACCTTCTCTGGAGAACACCTTGCTGGGATTTGTGTTCACGCTGAACTTTAGAAAGCCACATATATCTTGAAATCAGTTTACTTCAGGAATCTTCCAAGCTCTGGTTTGAAATCCGTAACAAAATGCTAAAAGGGGGGCATTACTAAAAAAAAAACCTTCTGATCTAGAGGTGCTCATGCAGAAACGAACTCTTCATAGGAAGCCCTGTAGTGTTAAACCCTGTTTTGGAGGACAGTCCCCAGAAAAAAAAATTTAAGCACCCTCTCACAAATCAACCTTTTGGTCAACTAGAAAAATGCCAAATGCATATACAAGAAATGGGCGATTTTTTTTAGAGGCACAAACAGTTCTTGCGGATAAGACCTGAGCTACACTTTCAAAGCAGTACAAGTCATCATTCCAAAGCAACTTTTTGGTACAGCTATTAATATTTCCTTTCAACCTTTGAAAGACCTTTAGGACAGGAACTGTTCTAGTTTCACCCCATCGACTTCCTGGTCTTCAGTAGCAAACATTTTCAGGGTGAAAGACGGCCACTAGAGGGAAACCGTGAGTATTTCCCTGTACACTAATCCCCCCCCCAAATGTGATAACAAAGTCAACACATAGAATAGGCAACACAGTGACTTACTTTTGTGAAAGGTGCAATATTTGCAAATAACATTTGGAAATAAGGGCAACCAGGATGATCAGAGAACAGCAGAAAGGTTTAGGTGGATGCTGACTAGAAGAATGCACTTAGAGCAGTGGTCCCCAATCTTGGGCTTCCAGATGTTCTTGGACTTCAACTCCCAGAAGCTTTCACCATCACCTCTGCTGGCCAGGATTTCTGGGAATTGAAGTCCAAGAACATCTGGAGACCCAAGGTTGGGGACCACTGACTGGGAGGGTTTACATTACTGGCTTCCCTGATAAGGACCAGCTGCTGTATTCAGCTGAAGTCACTCAGAAACCCTTATTCGGGCCTTCGAAGTGGATACACAAAGATCAGGCATAAGATATTCAAATATATATATTTTTCCCTACAACTACCAGAATTCAGTTCCAAGCTAGCAAACAAACAAATAAACAAACAAAAAACCCAAGTTACTTGTTCCTTGTCAATGTGGACACTAAAGTATGGACACTGATGTTGGTCCCCAGGGTCCGTGGGATGTGCAATGCATTAGGGGATGGTAGACTCTCTGTCTCTTTAGCCCTACAGAGGGTACTGCTCGAAAAACATATACAGTCCTTAATGCCTTGCTATTCCCATGGAGCACAGAAAGCTTCACCCACGTCCGTGCTTTAATCATCATCTGCAGAGAGAATCTTGGCAAGGAACAAATCCCGTGAGAACTTAGATTTTCTTTAGCTAAAACTACTAGAATTCTAGATAGGAGACATCCTGCTGAATTTTAGTAGTTGGAGTGGGGGGAGGGGAATCTAAAATCTTATGTCTAATGAAGATCTGGAGAACAACTGGGTTGGATAGGGATCTGGAAGAGGGGGCTTATATGAACACTGCATTTGAAGCTCTACACATTTTCAGACTTAATTCCAAGTCCAGACAAACAAACTAGAGCGATACAAAGAAAATACAACCAAACAATGTGACAATAGCAAGAACAAGGGAGCAATTAACCTATAAACAAAACTTTCAGCCTCCTTTCAAAGGAGAAGATCCTGCAGATCCTTATGCACACTGGTAAATATATTGGCATTCCTTGTTACTCTAATGTTTTTAATACCACATTAAAGTCAGCGTTATCGCTCTGGGCTAGTTACATGGCTCAAGAGCGCCCCCTAGAAGAAAGGAATGGTAAACCACTTCTGAGTATTCTGTACCTAGGAAAACCTGAAAAGGATTGCTGAATCGTGATCTTAATCATTGATTCCCAACCATGGGTAGCCCAGATGTTCTTGGGACTGCAATTCCCAGAAACCCAGATCAGCACAGCTGGTAGTGAAGGCTTCTGGGAGTTGCAGTCCAAGAACACCGGATTTACCCAAGGTTCGGAAGCAATGATCTAAATATCAAATGTTCCTGAACTCTGGATGCAAGCAGCTGATATGATAAACCACAGAGGTACAGACGCCAAAGAAATCAAAAGAAGGGGAAGTACACTGGCTTTTTAAGTGGTTGGGAGAAAGCAATTATTTTAAAAGAGGAAATGGAAAACCAAGCCACGGTTCAAATGAGTGAATATGTTGCTGATAACTTGATAAGGACCAGCTACTGAGAAAGTGAGTTCAGGCTGAGTTGCTCGCCCAGATGTGGGCAGCTGTTCTGGAAGCTCACCAAAAATGTATATATATGAAGTCAAAACAGCCAACAGCTGTCCGAGATTGTCATCCAAAAAATGAAATAAAATAAAGCTGGCCAACGGAACGTTTCACGTATCCGGAGGAGAGCAGGAGGGCTTTGCAAACAGCTGCTCAAATTCATCTTTTCTGTGTGAAAACCAGCCCTTTTCTAAAGGGCTCCTTCAGCTGGTTGCCTGGGCAACAGATCCGCAGAAGCCTCACACAGTGCTTCATCCTCACATCAACATTCGGAAAAGTTCCTTTTCTGGAACACGTCTCCTGGAATCTCCCAACCGTTCCTGCTAGCCCAGTTATGCATAAAATCTGCATTTGCTACTTCTGCATATAAAAATCACTTTACAGAGGATACTAAGGGTTGCTGTCATTTTCAGCCAGCTTAACTCTCACTGCACCTTGATCCACGGATGACCTAGCGCAGTGGTCCCCAACCTTGGGCCTCCAGATGTTCTTGGACTTCAACTCCCAGAAATCCTGGCCAGCAGAGGTGGTGGTGAAGGCTTCTGGGACTTGTGGTCCAAGAACATCTGGAGGCCCAAGGTTGGGGACCACAGACCTAGCATGTGCCCAGCCTTCTGGCTTCTCTTTTAGCTGGCCTACCCTATGTTGTATTGGTTTTCAGTGGTTCCCAACCTTGAGTCCCCAGATGTTCTTGGACTACAACGCCCAGAAGCACTTGCCAGCAGAACCAAGGGTGAAGGCTTCTGGGAGTTCAAGATGCCAGCAGAGCCAAGGGTGAAGGCTTCTGGGAGTTCAAGAATGCCTGGGGACCTTAGGTTTGGAACCACCAGGTTATCTGCTCATAACCGTTGTTCGATCTTCATCTACACAATTCATATTTGGGTAGAGCCTATGGACACAATCCATGGAGGTTCATCTACAAGGGCAAATGGGAAATGGCCCCAAATCAGCCTCCTACCTACTGCTTTGCTATAGGCATGGAAGACTCATTGTCTCTCCCCCATCGTGCATGTGTAATATCCACTGTTTCTCCATCTCTGTCTGTAACCCCCATGGGGCATAACATTTCTGTTGCACCACCATCATCCCTAATGCACACTCAATCCTATTATCTACACGTCTCTCCCCAATCGTACATGTGTAATATCCACAGTTTCTCCATCTCCGCCTGTAACCCCCATGTAGCATAACACTTCTGTTGCACCACCTAATGCACACTCAATCCTATTATCTACACTGCAGAATGATTGCAGTTTGCGGTGGGAGTTTTTACAACCTCGCATGCTGCCTTTAGCAGATTTCGCTGGAAGGGACGTCTCTGGGCTTGGGTGACTGTCAATCTATCTGGCGCTGACCAATTGTTCCCTCCTGTCTCTGAATTCACAATCTATCTAGCGCTGACCAATTCTTCCCTCCTGTCTCTGAATTCAAAGAGATCCTTTTCTCTCTGCTCAGTGCTTCCCCTCCCCACTATAGAGTCTGTGACGTCTGTCGTCGAAAGCAGTCACGTTTGTCAGCTGGCTGTTCGATCCGTTTCATTGTAACGGAACTTTTTCTTCTTTCTCCCATTTCTCCCATTAATCTCTCAGAGTTAGCGCTGACCAATTCTTCCCTCCTGTCTCTGAATTCAAAGAGATCCTTTTCTCTCTGCTCAGTGCTTCCCCTCCCCACTATAGAGTCTGTGACGTCTGTCGTCGAAAGCAGTCACGTTTGTCAGCTGGCTGTTCGATCCGTTTCATTGTAACGGAACTTTTTCTTCTTTCTCCCATTTCTCCCATTAATCTCTCAGAGTGAGTTATGGAGTCTGTAAATGCCAGTGGATGAGTAAAAAAATAAATAAGAGTGACTTGATGCCATTCACTCAGGGTCGAGACACCTCTTTCCATACCTTGTTCCAGCAACGGCTCCATCGTTCTTCCCTAAGGGCTCGTCCAGTTCTACGCCACACCATTCCCCTTTGGCAAAATCCGTCTCCCCGACATAGCGCACCACGCCTGTCTTTGTTCCGCCGACCTGTTAAATATCCGGAGAGGGAGGAAAAAGCAAGAAAACGAGACGGTGGTGAAAAAGACACAGCTCAGCAAGGGTCAGAAAAGGAAGATGGGATAAAAATCTGGTTCACTTATGTAGACCTCGGGTGCCCTCCAGATGTAGCTGAACCACAAGCCCCAGCGGCCCCATCCAGCATGACCGAAGATGGAGGTTATATTCTGAAAACATCTGCAGAGTAACTGCAGGCGAGGGTTGTACAGAAACCTCCTTTTTGCTCAGGGGTAGAATTCATGCTTTGCACAGCAGAAGTAGGGCGGAAAACCACCCGGGGGAGAAGCTGCCGACCAGTGTAGACAATATAGAGCTCTCTAGAAAAGAGACTTGTGCTGGTGTAAAACATCTTTCTGAAAAACAGAGGCAGGAAGCACTTTGGACAGGGGCTACCGAAACGGACTGAAAAACACGGACCATCTAAAAATGCATTTCAGGCTGAAATCGTGTGGTGCCAATTCCATCTTTGCAGCTCGGTCATCATCATCATCAGTTGGAGACCACCACTGATCAAAGGCTCCCTTTAATCATTTCAGGGTGGCCTGTGGCTTCATGGCATGGTGTACCCCCCACACACACACACACACCAGGACCTTGACAAAAGAAAATTTTAATCAGCACCGATTGCCCAGCACTGGTGATGTCGTAATAACTCTCGGACAGACAGAGTTCATCATGGCTGTGGTTCGGCCTCAGACGGCACCATGTCTTGGGACGGCAGTGGGCAAAGCTAATTCCCCCCCCCCAACAAGCTTTACGAATTAACAGAGAGAAGAAGAAGGGAAGTCCTTTTTCGGCTTTTTGAGCACAAGATGAAAGCAATTCTTTTGAGAGCCACAGGGGGAAGAAAACCTAGAATTATCCTGTCTCATTATTGTTAGGCCATTGCTACCGCAAGGACCGCCTCACACATTTATCTCTACCATGGGCCACTTCTTTATAGTGCCTTGAAGGAATGTTACAGAAATAGACCCAAGAGTTTGCAAAAGTTCCTTTTTTAAAAAAAGCTTCCAATCCTCAGAAGCTCTGAAGTTCGACAGACCTACTTGGAGAACCCTTAACCCAGAGTGCACGGTGTGAAAATTGCTTGTAAATATATCTGAAGTTCAATATACAGTTTAAACATGTTAAATCTACCACCCTTGGTCACTAAATTAGATTCCACCTTGAGGTATATTTTCCAAATTAATATATGTTGTTGTGTGTTTTTTTAACATGACTCCTCATTCAGCTTTCTGTAATCTCTGACTGACCGCTCGCTTTGTTTTACTTTCTGTATTTTGAAAATTAAGAAATATACCGTATTTTTCCATGTATAAAACGCCCCTGCTTTGTTTTACTTTCTGTATGTTGAAAATTAAGAAATATACCGTATTTTCCATGTATAAAACGCCCCCCCCCTTTTCTAATCCAAAATTAAGAAATCTAAATGGGGCTTAGCAAGTGTAGGGGGAAAGGGATCAAAGTGCTACAGGATCGCTTTGATCCCTGCTTTCCCCTCCACTTGTTTTTGTTCTCTCCTCAGCTTACTTCCGTGTATAAGACGACCCTCAATTTTTAATCTAAAGATTTTAGACAAAGGTATAGTCTTATACATGGAAAAATACAGTAATTGGAAACATATAAATATCATTTTGCACACTCTACTTAGTTATTATTAAGAAAGATCAAATCACGGACCAATTGGAAACATATGAATATGGTTTTGCACACTCTACTTCATTATTATTAAGAAAGATCAAATCACGGACCATCAAGTCAGTTCTGACTTATGGTGACCCTTTTGGGGGGGGGTTTCCAAGGAGAGAATACTCAGAAGTGGTTTGCCATTCTTTCCCTTCTTCTGGGGGTTATTCTGGGACTGTGCAGCTTGCCCAAGGCCACCCAGGCTGGTTCTCCTTCACAGGAGAAGCATGGGGGAATCGAACCCCCAGTCTCTGGTTTCGCAGCCCAGATACCTAAACCACTGATCTAACCAGCCGGTGAGAAAGAAGGATAGACGACACCCATTTACCTCTCCGGAGCCCCAAAAACCGCCTTGCGGTTTTCTACTGGCTGAAAAGCCACTGTTTTCAAGGTCTCTCTAGGAGACATTTTTTCAGACTAGCTGTAATTAGAGTTCTTTTAAGTACACCAACGTAGAATTTAAGACAATTCCAAACCATCTCTCCCCCCTCCTCCACAAGACGGGCATTTTAAAATAAACTCAAAATAGCCCCTGCTCTGAAATTGTATTCAGAAGAACTTGGAGTAAGGCAGGTTGTGAGGAGGAGAGAAAACAGATAAGGTATTTCTCTAGTAGAGAAAGAAAGCTTCGGAGTGTTTGGGACAGGAAGCCTTCCACGGTAGCAATTCTCCAAAGTGGTAACCGTGTTAGTCTGTTTCAGCAAGCCTTAAAAATATAAAAACAGAAGTTGTAGCACACTGAAAGCTGACCATTTTATCTATTGTGTCTGTCATTCCTTACAAAGCTCTGGGTGAAATATACAGTATCTGTTGGTCTTCCAAATGTTTATTTTGATTACACAGGATATGGCTTGGCTGGCTGGCTCCTCTTTATATACAAGGGGGGGAAACCACAACATTATTCTTCCTACCCTGTCAGACACTGAGGCACCTGTGATGCTCCCAACCAGAAAACAAAACTATTTGTTTGCATTTTTTTAAAGGGAAATTGCGTGACTCCTTTCACCCAAATAACGTGTTGCAAAACGACAACGGCTGCTCCTTTGTCGCAGGAGTTTTAAGGAGCCAAAGCAGGAGATGGGTTTTTTGTATCTCTTTCAAACAATCAGCATGGAAATATGTATTTCTGGGTTTTTCTTTTCTTTTCATATTTTTATTATTTTCACACCATGGATAAGCGAAGCTGCAGATACTGAATCTGCCAATACAGGGATACCCACCCCTGCCTCATCCAGGGGTTGTGCTACTGTACACCAGATTGCAACCAAGGCAGTAATACAGATGTTGACTTAACCAAAATCCCACAGACTCAACACATCTCCTCCAACTCAGACGAACCAAAGGCTTAAGCCCTTGTAGGATGAACTGAATTAGTTCCAACTAAAGCCAACTCATCCACCCGATTCTTGTTGGGATTGGACACGCATAGAAGAGGAACGTTGTGATCTGCCACAGCCAACAGATGAGATGCTGGGCTCATGAGACACAATTAAGCCCACCCATGTACGGGGGTCAAGAAATCCCAAATGAATTTGGGCCACGGAATGGATGGGGCTTTGCGAAGTCAACATTTCTCTAAGTTCCACAAAATCAAGCGGATTTCGTAGAGGGACGTCATCATTGGAACTAGACTTGCAGCTTTAAATGAGACATGGACGGGGCTATAAAACTAAAAATTAAGCCTAGGCTCTTCTCTCCCCCCCCCCACTCATCTGAGGGAACTCTTGCTTTTCTCTTCTTGGCAGGAAGACTGGAAGACAGACATGTGGCTTAAATTAAGGCCTCGGAGAAATCAGTCATAACATTCAAACTTCCGCTGCAGTTTTCAAAACATGTTAAAATGATTATCTAGAATACCCCTTCGCTAGCCTGTTTTTCATTTACGAGGGTCGCCCTACTCTCTATTCCACCGGCGAGGCAAAAACAGTATCCTGCTGTATTAGGATCTGTTCCGATTTTGGCCCGTTAAGTGCTTTTAATCTCTAATCCAAGAATACAATTTGGGCGGGAAGAAAATCCAAACACATGCAGAATATCAGAGATGGATTACTAAATATCCCTCTTCGTTTATTATTAGCCTTCTAGATGGATAACTTCCAAGCAGGATCGGCGCTTGGTAAAATAATTTATTTTGGACTACAAACCCCAGAATCCTCTAACCAGCATGGCATGGCCCCTTCTGGGCCAAGGGGATTCTGGAAGGTGTAGTGAAAAAAACTAAGATTTTGACAACATGGTTGTTGTGGGTTTTTCGGGCTCTTTGGCCGTGTTCTGAAGGTTGTTCTTCCTAACGTTTCACCAGTCTCTGTGGCCGGCATTTTCAGAGGACAGCACTCTGTGCTCTGGTGTAGTTTGCTTGGGAGTGCAGTATTTATGGCTGTGAGATCAGCTTTTGTCCTTTTCAGGAGATGGGTGATTAGTGTGTCTTGTTGTGGGTGTATTGTTGTGATAAGGAAGAGAGATTATCTGTCACTGTAATTGATTTGACAACAAAACACTGTGTTTTAACAACATTTGCCCATTGTTCCTCTTGTATCTGAGGTATAGGGTACAGATGGCGTCCCAAGGTACAGTACCCGCTTAGTTTTAAAGTGAGTTTAGCTGTTACGAGTGACACGAAAGGCTTTCACTTGGCAGGAGTTTTAGAAAAATATTGCTGAGCGTTGGGAGACACAGTGAATGGAATTTGTAATTTCCATACTTTTTTTTTTTGAAGCATCAGCTTTTCGTGGGCATGGAAAAGAACAGAGAATGGGGATTAACTGTTCATGTTCATCTATTGAGCCCTTAAAAAAAATGCTTAGTTTTAAAGTGACCCTCTCACAGCCACTGAACAGCCATTGAAAAATAAGCTAGAATTATAAACAAGTGAGAACTGAAAAGAGTTTGAACTGAAAAATAAAGCGTTGTTGCGTGTTTTTTAAAGCACACTTCTAATGTAAGGATGCGTGAATTCCCAAAGAGGGGCCAGATCAACGTAAACATAGAAAAGACATCCCCTTTTTCTGGGGGCACAGATGTTCATAAAATTCCCATGTGCTAAATTTTATAGACAGAAAATCAGTAAATAACGAGAGGAGTAAAGCACAGCTTACTCAAGAGGAGAAGATCAGATGTTCTGAGCACGGGGCTTGGAAAGAACGCATCAAAAGTAATCATAATAAATCTTTACTTTTTAAAACCAATAGTGAAACCAACACATTGCATTTTCTGTTGACCACACGGACCCTGGTATCCGCGAGGGATCATCTCCCCCTGCAGATACTGAAAAACATGGGTTATAG